TGAGTATTAGGAGAAAGAGGATTTCTAATTTGTCTGTCTTGCTCCACTGTTTTGTGACAACAGAGCAAATGAGGAAGATTAAATTGGTTGTCATTACAACTACACCATATTTCATAAAGTTAAAATTGAGAGAACATCTTTGTAAAATAGAATTCTAAGCCTACCACATTAATGGCACTTAAAGAACCAAAACTGGGCAAATCCCTTTGGAAAGTCAACACATAAACAAATCTATTAATTGGGTCACAGTCGTTTCTCAACAAGCCTCTTGTCTGATTTACTTACAGTAAACAAAACCGTATCCATCCGTCTTTATGGAGAAGTATTCACCAGTGTGACAAAATGTAATTATTATACCTTAAGCACTTGCAATTACAGGACTTTATGATGACAACACTGTTGGTTATGCCCTTCATTAGCATCTGTCACTTCCCCAGCCACTCCCCCTGTGCCTGGCCGCCGCCCTCTGGAGCATTAGGCTTTGCAGACGATTGACTTGTCTTTATGTCCTCTAAGCTTTCAGAATAACAGAACAGAAAAATCCCTCTATTAACTGTTTCTTTTGCTGTGCAGAAACTTTTTAGTTTAATATAATCCCATCTGTTTATTTTTTTCTTTTGTTGCCTGTGCTTTTGGGGTCTTATTCATAAAGTTCTTGCCCAGTTCTACTTCCTGAAGTGCTTCCCCTATGTTTTATTTTAGTATTTTTAAAGTTTTGGGTCTTACATAAAAGTCTTTAATGCATTTTGAGTTGCTTTTGATATATTTTGGTATATACAATTGATTTTGGTGAGAGGTACAGGTCTAGTTTCACTCTTCTACACATGGATGTCCAGGTTTCCCAGTACCCCTTATTCAAGAGGCTTTGGCACAGCAAAAGAAACAGTTAACAGAGTGAAAAAACAACCTGACGAATGGGAGAAAATATTCGCAAACTATGCATCCAACAATGGATTAATTTCCAGAATATACAAGGAACTCAAACAGCTTCACAATAAAAAGACAAGTAACCCAATTAAAAAATGGGCAAAGGAGCTCAATAGGCATTTCTCAAAGGAAGATATGCAAATGGCCAACAGACACATGAAAACATGCTCAACATCACTGAGCATCAGGGAAATGCAAATCAAAACCACATTGAGATATCAGCTCATGCCAGTTAGACTGCCGTTATCAAAAAGACAGAGAGTAACAAATGCTGGTGAGGATGCAGAGAAGGGGGAGCCCTCCTACACTGTTGGTGGGATTGTAAATTGGGGCAACCATTATGGAAAACAGTATGGAGGTTCCTCAAACAACTACAGATAGAACTGCCATACGACCCAGCAATCCCAATGCTGGGTATATACCCTAAGGGATCGAAATCATCATGTTGAAGGGATACCTGCACTCCAAAGTTCATCACAGCTCCATTTATAATAGCCAAGAGTTGGAACCAACCTAAATGTCATCACTGGATGATTGGATAAGGAAAATGTGGTATATTTACACAATGCAATACTTCTCTGCCATAAAAAGGAATGAAATTCTGCCATTCACAGCAACATGGAAAATTATGTTAAGTGAAATAAGCCAGGCACCGAACGAGAAATATCATGTCCTCACTCATAAGTGGAATCTAAAAAAAGAAAAAAAGAAAGATACAACAATGCATTGAACTTTCAAAAGAAGAGAAGAGAACCGAGGCCACCAGAGATGGGAAAGGGGGAGGGGGAGGGGAGTTAACGAGAAATTGGTAAAGGGCCACAAAAAATGGTTATATAGTGTAATAATAAACATAGTAATTACCCTGATTTCACATATTGCACACAGGTATTGATATTCAACACTGTACCCAATGGATACATACAACTGATTATGTTTCAATTAAAAATAGACAAATTAAGAAAAACAAAAACAGAAAATCACTTGTTTTATGGAAAGGAAATAGGTATTTCTAAAGCAAGGCACCAAAAAAAAAAAAATTTGCTTCAAAAACCAAAACTTTGGGGCCGGCCCGGTGGCGCACTGCTACAGTGTGCCGCTTGGGAGCATGGTGGCACTCCTGCCAAGGGTTCGGATCCCACATACAGACCGGTTCCTGCTCACTGGCTGAGTGAGGTGTGGGAGCAACACCGAGGGTTGCGATCCCGTTGCTGGTCCTGGTCTGGTACGGGCGCGACACTGAGGGTTGCGATCTGTTGCTGGACACGAAAAAAAAGACAAAAAGGAAAAAAAAAAAAACCCAAAACTTTGGGAAAGAACATTATTTATGGAGTTTTGTTACATGAAAAGCCAGCTGATGATCAGAAGCTCTAGAATACAGGGCCGGCCCGGTGGCGCACTGCGCTAGTGCGCCGCTTGGGAAGCGCGGCAGCGCTCCCGCCGAGGGTTCGGATCCCACATACAGACCGGTTACCGCTCACTGGCTGAGCGAGGCGCAGGGGCAACGCCGAGGGTTGCCATCCCGTTGCCGGTCCCGGTCCCGGTCCGGTACGGGGGCGACACTGAGGGTTGCGATCCGTTGCCAGACACGGAAAAAGACAAAAAAAAAAAAAAAAGAAGCTCTAGAATACAATAGAAGGTTTTGATATGGGGTGGGTAGAGCACCTGTTTCTGAAGCAACAGAATGCATGTCTTCTTGGGTCCCCTGAGGTTGAAACCTGCCACAAAGAAGTCAGCAACAGAAACCAGCTCAAGTGGCCAAGTTACATCTGGGGACCTCCTGTGACGTTGCTGATGGCCCTGTGCCAAGGAGCCCTAAACTGATGATTTCTCAAAACTGGAGGTGGGAGTGGGAGGGCAGCCCCACGGTGAAATGCAAAGTCATCCCAGAGGTCACATGCTCAAAAAGGACCCTTGCACTTCCTTTCTCCACATCAACTTCTCCCTCACTGTTCACCACTCATCCAGATGCCTCAACCCTAGAAACCAGCATAGGCTCCTCTGTCCCCTCATGTCCCACGTTCAAGCCATCAGACAGTTCAGTTGCTCTGTTCTGCCACTGACCCCCAATCCATCCATCTCACCATCTCCACTGCTAGCACCTTAGTCTGAGCCACCAACATCCAGGGGGAGAGGGGACACAACTGTTAAGAGTGAGAGTGGAATACTACACTTAAAGAACTGAAAGACAAATTAAGTCTTTAACTATAAAGGCAAGAGGGAGAGCAGTCAGACCCTCTACTCCTGTTGTGTGGGACACCAGGGTCATTCCTGCCCACATCCAGCTCTGGGGAGTGACAAGGCTAAAGGCACCTCTTCAATGCTGACAGTCCAATGTTTTCACAAACATTGGGACTCCGCAATGATGATCCCATCTGACCACACATATGAAATAGGGTCAGAAGTACCATTCCAGAAATTGCCAAAGAAGTCAAAAGTGACAGCTCCACTGTCACTGGACATAAGGAAGTTTGGATATTACTGATCCATTCTTTATGAACCTGTTCAGTCTGGACCATCATGTCACCCCTAAACTCCATCTGTTGCCTCGGGCACTACTATGCAGGCTTTCTTTAACCCACTTCCTTCCCTGTCATCAATCAGAGCATCACTGGATACCAGACAGTGACAAAGGTTAGCAGCCACAAGATGGATGAAAATCAGCCCAGCGCCACAGGCTGGGAGTTAGCCTGAAAATCACTTGTGTTCCTTTGGGCTTCTTTGCTGTCAAAGGTTTTACTTTTGAGGAATGTTTCCCTTATCATTTTATAAAAGCCACATCATAAGATTTATCGAAACTGTGCAAGCACCAAAGGGAAAGGGGAGGGGGAGGGGAGATAGAAGAGGAGGAAAGAAGGGGGAGTGAGAGAGAGGGAAAGAAAAGGAAGGGAGTGAGGAAGGGTGGAAATAAGGAGGGAAAGACTGAAATACTAAGGAAGGAAAAGCCAATTGAACCTGTAAGGAAGACATCCACGTGCAGGTGGGTGTGCTGCTGTGTGAGACACTCGCTGGTTATCTGTCCGCAGCCCCGCGCCCCAGCCCTGCCTCTCCGCTGTCTGCCACCTGTGAGGCCGGGGCAGTCACAGTTCTGAGGCTCTTTGGACTCTGTCAGGTTCTGCCAGTCGGGGGCACTGGAGGAGATGAAAGTGGGACACAGGCCCTTGGTCTTCCCTCCTGGTTTCTGCTGTGTCACCTCAGTCCCCCGCCTGCCCTTCCATCAGCACATCTGGAGCCAGCTCACCATGCTCCCAGACAAACACGACCAGCAGCTGGGCAGTGGCCTCTCTTCAGAGGTCCAAGCTGCACCTCTTCAGGGCCTCGCCTCTGAGTTCCCAGATCTGGAGATCTGTGCTAGCTGCTTCCTAAAATTATTACCCTGGTGCATCCCTTCGCTCTCCCAGCCCTCCAATTCCCATGTGGCATGCTTCCTTTATTAAACCGTTTCTGTTGAAATCATTCATTTTTCTGTTGAGGCCCTTTCTGAAAATGATTTGTTGTAGACTTCTCACATTCTCCCCTCTGAGAACGTATCTTGTGAACATCCCAACAGCTGAGAAGTTCTACAACCTTACCTAACAACCTCCTGGCAGTTTAAATGAAAGGCTAATTTTTTAATTTTTATTTTTTCTGCAGCTGGCCGGTATGGAGATCTGAACCCTCAGCTCCTGGTGTTATCAACACCATGCTCTAACTGAGTGAACTAACCGGTCAGGCCCACATCTTTGATTAAGGGACTCCAACATGCTGAAACATCCGCGACGTGGTGAAAATGACCATAATATGACCCTTAATATCAGAAGCTGTATCTTAGATTTGGAATATTTTCATGGTAGGCCATCTTAAAGAAAAATGTCAATTCAAATAAACTTTTAATATAAAAATATGCAAACAGATGAAATGGATATCTTATTTAACAGCAATGAATGTGTAGTTAAGTACTTGAGTTGTCAGGAATGAGAGGAAAAATTAACAGAAAATTAACTTTGTGGGGTTTTTTCCAAGTTTTACAAGAAAGGATAAATTGGAAATTTGAACACAAATGGAAGGAACTGGAATGCCACAGGTGAAGAACTCACCATGATCTTGTCACTGTCAATAATGGTGTTCAGCCTGTGCGCGATCGTCAGCACGGTGCACTGGGCAAACTTCTCCCGGATTTTTTTTTGTATTAACTCATCAGTTCTGGAATCAAAGAATTAAATTTAATTCAGTAAAGATGGGAAAAGTAGACTTAAGACTTAAAAAGAACACAAAATATTTCAATAATGATTTTTTAAAAAATCAGTACTTTAAGATATGATCTTGTTTTAAAAAATTAAGTATAAAAAGTCACTTAGAAATTTGCTATACGTTATACAACAATAAAAAATATTTTCCCCTCCAAATTGCTAGAAACATCAGGAGCAGGATTTAGGAATCCAGCTCTCTTAGAATGCTGAATATTATCATTAATGCTGTAAAATGTGTTTTGGTTTCTTCCTCTATTTTCCAGAATTAATATTATCAAGAGATATCTTTGGGGTAAACAGAACGCTTAGAAACATTTCTCCGCATTATTCAATGTTTCCCATTTACCACATTTAAAAATTGGATTTTTTTTCTTAAGTTTATTAATATTATTTTTACATTCTATGATGTTGCGGAGCAGTTGCGGGGGAGGGGAAAGAAATAGGGTGGGAGGAAGAGGAAGGAGTAGGGACGGGGTTGAGGCCTGTGGCGCCCCCCTCATTCCTGCAGGGGAGACCAGGGGGCTTCCAGGGGTGTTTTGGTCATTGCTGGGCTGGGTGCAGATGTCAGGGGGGTGTGGCTGAGGTCCTCGCCATCCCACAGCCCTAGCTCGGAAGACAAAATTCAAATTCAATGTTACATGGACCTGGGATCCACATTGGCTGTCGCTTCATCAATAATCAATATCCGGTTTTTCCTGAGAATTGCCCTGGCAAGGCACACCAATTGTCTCTGTCCAACGCTAAAATTGGATCCTGATTCTGCTAATTGAGTATCCATTTTGCCAGGAAGATCTTCGATGGTTTCTTTAAGTTGTACCTGCAAATATAGAAAGAATGACATTTTCCTAAGCAAACTACTGCTGAAGTAGACAAGCCTCTTAGACATCAGAACTTTGAAGTCCTTTCTCTCAGAAGACAGCTTATGTGTAGAGCCACAGGATGGTGAGAGTTAGTTCTAGTTAATGCTCATTAAAAAGATGGTCAACTTAGAGTGAACTCATAACAGAAATATTCTGACTTTCTGAACAAAGTTATTAATAGGACCCAGGAATGCTTCTTTGTCACCAGCAATAAGCACAGTCTGTTCATGGTGGGTTGTGTGTTAACGCTCTCGTGCCAATTTCATTAAGACATATGCAGTGGCTAAATAAAATTATTCTCTAGGTGAAATACAAAAAAATTTTAAATGTCCCATCTTAATTTTTAGTGAAAAGGTAACTGCAGGAATTTATAGAGACAAAAGTTTCCTAGGGGCTGGGCTAACTGTAAATGGACATGAGAGAACTTTTTGGGGAGATGGAAATGTTCTAAAACTGGGTTGTTGTGATGGTTGCACAACTCTACAAATTTACCAAAATCAATGAATCACACAAAGGGAGAACTTTCTATATATAAATTACACTTCAATGCAGTCGGTGAAAAGTAATCATCTCAGTGTCCCCGTCACCTGAACTCCCTTTCTACCACATGATATCCACCAAGAACCCCTCCCAGGGAGTTAAAGACATCTCTCAAAAAATGAAGCCCTTTATCTCAGTATAGTCTCTGTGGAAAAAGTAAGAATCTCTCTGGTTGAATTGTTTTCCAAAGTACATTTTGCATAGGTGTTAGTACACAAAAGGGAAAATTTAAAAAGAAAATTACTTTAAGAAGTATGGTTCTCTAAAGATATAATCTTATAGGCACTTTACTCTTTTGGAAGGTTTTAATCAACTAGAAAAGTTTTTAAAAATACAAATTTAAACAACAGAAGGCTGTGCCTCATATGTTAGGAAATCTGGAGCCTATTTGGGGGATGGTTCTTTCCCAAGTTTAATCCCATCAGACCGCCAAAGCAGTCAAGTGCATTTGCTTCAATCTCAAATATTTTGCAATGAACAAAAACTCATGAAAAACAGGACACAACATAACATCTTGCCCCCCGCACTATGGAGTGTTTATACTGGGTTGTGGTTCAGTTTAACGGATACCTGTTTTGGAAAATTTTATACAATGAGAGCCAAACTCAGGCTATACTTGAGAGCTATAGAAGAAACAGAGTTAGTACACCTCAAATTAAGAGATCAGCAGAGTCACAGCTGGCCAGCTAGCTCAACTGCTTAGTGTGTGGTGCTGATAACATAAAGGTTAAGGATCCGTTCCCTGTACCAGCTACTGGCCAGCAAAAAGGAAAAAAAAAAGAAAAAAATAATGAGAGAGATCAATAGATTGACGAGTGATGGTCAGTAAACAGATACACAGAATCACAACAAGAAACCAAGGGTAAATGGGCAATATTTTCATGGTACCCTAAATGCTGAAGCACTTCTATGAACATGATCTTCGGCTGCGCTCATGGTGGAAATCCAACTCCATGAAATGAGAATTCTGAGTTAGGATTAAATATGATATTGGCGTTTAGTGTTAGCAGGAAAGATAGGAAGATAAACAAAACCTGAAGTGTAAGATGTGGATCTCGGTACAAGACCCTGCACTGAGATCTGGAGAATGGAAGACGCCAGCCTAGTCAAGCCCCTCCGTTACAAGGAAGAGGACTTACTGAGTGTTGTTTTTATGAAACATACTCATAGATCTACACCCCAGGTGACAGAATCAATCAGAAGCGTGATGGTGAAAGCCTTCGTCAGCTTTTCCTTCTGAGCTGACTCAGGTCACACTGGTACGTGCCGACAGGTCTTTCTTAAGACTAACAGCCAGATGCTGAAGGAGGAACCTCACACTTGCCCCTAAAGGTGGCATCTCATTACTCATCTGGTTTTTGACTCTCCTCGGGTTTTCCACATCTACCTGAAGAGGAGGAAAGGTTGCAAGGTGAAGAACAGTGAGCATGTTTTCCAGAAAAGGGAATCTTCTGAGACCGTGTCTTCATTTATGAATCAGGGACGGGCGTGAGACTGATACGAATGTGACGCTGCTCTGCAGTGTGACCATCCATTCAAGTGATGACGGGGAAAAAGAGCACAGAGGGAGCAGAACCCAGTGACTACGAGCGACAACGGGGGCAATCTGAAAACATCTTGGACAATGGCACTGCTTCACTATTAAATTTCTTGTGTGAGACAGCGGTATTATGTTAATGGAGAACGTCCTTGTTCCCAGGAGCTATATATGTACATGTTTAAAAGTGAACTGCAACTTAACGAATATGTCAGTAACTAACTTTCAAATGATTCAGCAAAATACAAGCAGACGATACAAGAGAGGAAGCAAATGTGACAAAATAATGACAACTGGTGAGTCTAGGCGAAGGGTGGACGTGTGTTCATCCTATTATTCCTTCGACTCTCCTGTGACTTGGAAATCTTAAAATAAAAAATTGGGGCCTTGAAGCCAGACAGCCTGGGCTTGAGTCCTGCCTGGCTCTGCCAATCGGGCACATTCCTGAATTTTCTCTATATTAGCTTCTTAATCCTTCAATAAGGCCGCAATATTATTATAATCAAGATGTCTATCTCCTAACATTAAATGAGTCAATACAGGTAGTGTTTAGGACAGCGCTTGATACACAGCAAGAGATTAACAAACACTGCCTATTATTAACAATGCTGTCAGCTAGCCCTCTTCGTGTTTTGCTTTATTTTTCATTGTATTTATTAACACCTAACATACCACACATGCATTTGCTTATTTTCTATCTCCCGCATAAGAATTTCAGCTCTGAGAGGGTGGGGGATTCTGTCTCCCTTGATGACTGCTATAGCCCCATAGCAAGAAGCTCTCAATAAATATTTCTTGGATGTATGAATGAAGCCACAAGTACATCTCATTTTGTGACATATCTGTTCCTATAAATTAGAAAATAAATCCATCTACATATATAATTTATATGAAATACCATTTTCTTATTAAATGTCATTGTAAATTAAATATATTCATTGCAAAAGTTAATTGGCTCCCAGACATCATAATATCATACTTTACAATGTGGAAAATGTTAAAAACAGTTATAATTTCAGAAAAACTGATCAAATAGTATTCAAAACTATGTATCTAAGTATAGAATATTTCAAACGATTTTTAAGCTTGGAAAAATAGTAAACTATAGCAAATCTGAAAATAATAAACTGAACTTATAAGACACCCCATTTCTGTCAACATAAATGTTTTCAAAGTAACCTACTCCATGCACTGTACCTACTGGGTGCCAGTGCCCCTTGCAGGAGAAAAGAATAGCTGATGCTCGAAAAAGAAGACTTAAAATGCGATCAACATCAAATCAACAGATGGGGACGAGCTTTTACTAGAACAAAGTCAAGGGTAAATGGAGTCAAGGGGAGCCCATTCTCTGAAATGCATGGCCTGGGGGAAATGGCAATGAAGTGTGTGGAGGAAGCAAGAGCTGAAAAACACCTTCCTGACCTAACACGCTGCGGGTGCTCGGCTATCTGCATCGTGGCTCCATGTAGAACGAGGTATCCTTGCATTCCAAATAGAGATACTATCAACGTTGAACATAATTGGGTGATTTCTTCACTGTTCTGACATGACATATCCTACTTGTAATTGTGCATCCCAGTATTAGAGTCGTCTACAGAGCTGTATCTGCTGTGATATTTTGGCCTTTTTCTGATAAACCGCTTGTCTTTAGTCATTACTTATGTTATATGTATAGAGCTGTCATTACCTCTTAGCTGCCTCAACTGGCACTGATTCTAGTAAACTTTCTTCCATTTATAGCTGACTATTTTTCAGTATTTGAGGCATCTTTCAGCATATTTTAAAAATAACCAAGAGGAGATGGGCAACATTCAAAGGACTGTCCTCTGCTGAGTGCCAAACCTACTTTTCCATCTCTGGCACTACTCTCTGCAAGGGAGAAGGGGGAGGAAGAAATCAGAGAACATTGAAAAAAAGCATCTTTCCTTTTTAAGTGAAGTTGTTAAACAAGAAAAAAATAATAGCGCCTTCTTAAGGAATATCTCAAGCCAACCCTATGAAATTGGGCCCCCACTTCCAGTTTGGCATCATTTATAAACCAACTGATTAGGATTTTCAGTCCACTTTAAAGGAAGCTGGCAAAGACACTGGGACTTCCACCATCCACTGCAGGGCAGGATGGGTTATACTGCTCTGAGCTGGATATAATGGGAAGAAGCAACCCAAGGAGACAGCAAATAGAATATGATACAGAAATCCAGAGGACCTTGAACGGCAGTGGGGTTGTGGTGCTGAACCCCTAGCATGATGTCTCCCCAGATAAACACACATGGGAACAGCAGACACACAATCCAAGGAGGTGAAGTTCTGACTTCACCGTCAGAAGACCCTGAGATTCCAAGGACCCCAGGAGAAGAATCCCTGACCTATCACAATGACCCCAGCCTCCATAAACTTGTGGTCATGAAACTAATTACCACTGTTAAAAATTCACAGCACTTCTTCTGTCACGAGTAATCAGCCTTTTTTCTTCATCCAGATTATAAAAGAATAATAATGTACTACGGAACATTTGGAAAATTCGGAAAAACCAAAGAGGAAAAAAAAACACAACAAAAACTCATTATTTTATTACCCCCAAACAAGCAATGCTAATATTTAATTCTCTTTCTCAGTACAGGTTTCAGGATATGTGTATGATTAAAAGCAGTTGAAATCATACTATATTTTTAGAAAATCTAGCAAATTTTCCATTGAAAAACATAACGTCATAAAGAAATAATTCCTAGAGAAAGACAATGATGGGATAATTTCTCACTTCTAAGAGGTATCATTAAAGCTCTGAGGTCAATTCCAGAAGCAATGCATGGAAACTACTCACTACACTCTGCAGTCAGGCCTCACAGTACACTCAAGTTTATTAACAGAAAGCTCCCAATATAGTTTATTTTTTTTATTTTTATTTTTTTTTAAATTTTTATTTTGTCAATATACACTGTATATGATTATTATGGCCCATCACCGACACCTCCCTCCCTCCTCCCTCTCTCCCCTCCCCCCCAAGAATGTCTTTTCCGTTTGCTTGTTGTAGTAACTTCATGAAAGTATAGTTGTTATATCTTCTTCCCCGCCCCGGTTTTTTGTCTTTTTTTA